ACTAGTATTGCAGTCAATACCAAAAGAGGTTCTTATTAGTTTCCCCAATAAGAAAAAATATGAATACAGAATGGCATGTGTAATAATCCATGGCTATATTAGTTCTGGGAAAATAGAAAGTTTGGAAATAAAAAAAACTAAAAATTTGCCAGAATACACAAAAAAAGAGTAAAAACACTATTGATGGTTTCTATATTTTTATTTCCTGTCTGAACAAGAAGTTACTCAATAATCAGTCATCAGGGAGGTAGTGCTTGACATGTTGCAGAATGGTTCATGTGAGAAACTTCAAAAGTACACACGGCCATGACAAGCTACTCCATGAGAATATTGTATAAGTCAGATGCAATGTCTGGTGTTATGACATCTGGAAACTGTTTCCTTCAACCAGAAAGACAGCATTGCCTCAAATCCCACCAAGAAATAGTGAAGTTAACTGTCTAGGCAGTTGAGTTAATTCCTGGGGACCTTGGGAAGACATGAACACCCTAGGTAATATGAGAAAAGGGCTACCAGAAGCACGAGGGATTGTCAGAAACAACCTGTGTAAAGTTTGTCCATTCTACCCTGAGAAGTATATGCCAGCTTATTAAATACTGATCTCTAAATACTTTGGCAAGATTATTTATCAACATTATGAGATGATAAATAACATGACCATAAAAAAGAAGTTTAGAGTTGAATATAGGGATATTAAGTCCTGGTAACTATACATGCTATGGTAGCCTATCAATGGATTAAAAACAGAGAGTTTGATTAGCTGTTACATTACTTATAGATAATTTTATGATTCCATTCCATTTTTATACCTTTTATAGATCTTGGAAATGTATAAATAAATCTCTATTCAGAAATGTTTGAATCATGGGATGAATAAATACTTATGCTTATGGGAAATAAAAATTATAGTGAAGAAAAGATGAGAAAAGCAAGAATTACATACATGTTAAACAAAGAAAATTTCTGCCACACTCTTAGACTCTTCTGGTTCTTGGGCTCAAAACACTTAGGAAAAAAATTAAACAATACTGGTTATGGTTCAGAGAAAAACATAAATACCAAAACTTCTAAAAGTGGGTGAAATTTAACCATATAGAAATTAGAAGAAAGTATTAGTTCACATGTTTGGGGTTAATTCAACACTAGAAACTAAACCAAATCAACAAATACGTTGGGGTGTCAACTTAACAAATGGTTGTACAGAGATAGTTTGAAAATATTAATTTGATTTGTTTTTCATTCTTTTTCTCTAAAAGCCACATTCTCCAGCCACCACCAGAGAAGGGAAGGAGAGACTCTACCTCAGTTGGGAAGATGGAAGGCAATAGGTCAATTAAATGAGATGTGAAAAGGAAACTCAGTAGATACTGGGGGGAAAAAGGGCAATGGAGGCAAAGAAAACAGATGGTAAGATGTATGCACATTAACTTCTCCACTGGGGGTTTAAAATCCCAGAAACAGAAGGCATATTGCATTGTTTAAAGGGACTGCCCAAAGAGGTGTTCCAGGGTGCTGACTATGTGGGACTCAAGGAAGGAACCCTCTGAAAGGGTTCCCTATACACATCAAATTTAGAGGTGTAGAAGAGTTTGACAAAGAGAGGAACTGAATCCCTCTTGACTCTCAAATGCCATAGAGGACTCGAGGCCTTTAGAGGAGTCTGCAAGAATAGCAATAGCATCACCAAACCAGTTTACCTAGAGAAGGTGATGCAGCAAGACTTTGTATTTGAAGGCTGCACAATGAATTACTGAGACAAGAAATCAAATGGATATTACAGCCAGAATTCAGAGGGATATACAGCACTAGTGAGAGTCCAGAGGAGGATGAGTCAAGACCAGTGAGCTCCCACTGAGCAAGGAGGAAAAAGGCCATAAGTTCTCAGGCCCAGAAATCAGCTGCTGTTAATAGAAAAGTACAATGAAACTATAGCACAAAGAACATCACCAGTCACTTGAGGAACTGAAGGATGGTACAATTTCCTCACCCCTCTCCCAAACAATACAAAGACCTCATAACACGTTACGACCCTGTATATAGTCAGTTTCCATCAATGTTCAATGAACTCTTGAATCCACCAATATATAAAACAATACCCATTAGCAGAAAAAAAAAATGAGATTGAATGCTCATTTCAATATATTCAGGAAAAGCATTTAATAAAATACAACATCCATTCATGATTAAAAGCAAAACTAAAGTAAAGCAAAAAGCAACTAGAAAAAGAATAGAACATCTCTAAATTAATAAGACTGGCTCTGAGAATCCTTCAGCAAACTTCAACCTTAATGTTTCATGGACTGAGAGACCAAAGCCAGATTATCAAGTACACAAGGTGACAAAGATAAATTAGGAAGCAAGTAGGAGCAGAGCCATCAGGTTAGCATTATTGAATTCCCAAGCTTTGTATCAACATTGATCTGCAAACAACTCAGCTGGTCCAGGCTTCAGATACTACAGTTTACCTAGATACAAAGACTAAAGGCTGATCTGAGACTAAAAAGAGGAATCTGTTATAATTACAAATGGATTCTAAAATCTACCAGGTTCTACTGTTTGATGAAACTATTAATCCAAAGAAATTTAATCATAGAGTCAGGGTAGAAATAAATATATATAATCATAAATACGTAGCTAATATCCATTTTAGTGCTAATATTAAAAAATGCAAAATTTTTAAAAAGTCACTAATCTCATCATTAATTTAGACTTACAATTGGTTATGATCACACTACTGAAAAAAATGGAGATATTGGTACCTCTAGTTATTTCCAATGTTACTGGAAAATTTTTTTCTCTATAATGATTGAAGTATGCAACTAAGCCTTATACAATACAGAGAAATTATGTAAAATAAAGCTGAGTTATGGAGATATGAAAAGAAATGTTTAAATGTTTAATCAACAACTTCTGATAATATCAATAAATTAATCAAAAGCAGAGTACATATATGGGATTATTGACTTGCCATCAAAAGTATGACTCCTATAGATGATTTTTCCTCTTCAAAAATTGAGTAAAAGGACATTCAGAACAAATCATTTTATTTGTTTGTAATTTCTAGTAATCCCTCAACTAAACTAATTTTGTTCTGAATGTTTTATTATAAAATTAATATAACACAAATGATTGATTTCATTTTTGATTAATGAGTACATTGCTAAAGAAGATAAACATTGATTAACTTCCACATAATATATTGTATAATACATTAAATTATCCACATAAATGAGGAAATAAAAATCTTCACACTTAACATTATAAAAATATTAATATTAATTTTTAGATATGTTAATAAAATGAACTAGGTAATGAAACAAAAAAAGTATGATGATGACTTGGGCAACTGTATCCAAACTGACACAGGGACTAGAAAGTTATGACTCAAAAATCTTTAACTGCTTTCGGAATTCAAAAGGAGGATATTGATCATAAATATATGTACCTACTATGTACCCACAAAAATTAAAAATGTTTTACAAAGGATACTGAATAACCATTTAACTACATCAACATTATGAATCAAAATGAGCAGGAACAGCATTCCCAATAATGCCTTCCCATCTGGAATGCTTTTCCATGAGAAAACATATTGACCATGACAAATTTGTGGTAGCAAGTCTAGGATTTTCCAGACAAACTAAACATTAGTTTAGAAAGGTTTTAGAAAGGAGAATTTTTTTGTCCTTTGAAGTTTAGGTGGCTATGTGAGGTTTTAAAAAGGAGATTTTTTTTTGTCCCTTGAAGTATAGGTGGCTATGTAAATATTAGAGTGTGATTCTGTCATTGTGATGTTGCAAGTATTTTACATGGAAGAAAAAAGGAAATGGTTCTAGCCATTTCATGTAAAAAACAACTCAAGATAAACACTTGAAAAAGAGCTCACATCCAGGAAGGCATCTTAAATCAATTAAGCCAAAGGAGTATTACATTTGAACTGCAGAGAAATGTTATCAGATTTTTATTTAATCAAAGAATAAACAGTGTTGATGTTCTAAAAATATCTTTGAAAACCTTTCCATAAGTATCTTTTGTAAAAGTGTGTATCTGCTAAACAAAAGCTAGATACTTAGAAACTGTAGAATCCTGTAACCAAATTCCTAATTCTTGTTTTTTCTTGAATATGTATTTGTCAGAGGAGTTACTGATGAAGTGAGCCTATATATGTTTTAAAACAACTGTCCTTACCCTGGGGTTCCATGAACTTGGTTGGAAAAAAGTTACATCTTTATTATCACTAACCTCTGATACTGCAGCATTTCTTTCAAGTATGATTGAAGGTGAAACCATAGACACTGTGGCTTTGTTACCAATAAAATGATACTTTTATATCACATTATGGTTGGTGTAGCTATGTGTCAACTGATTACCACCACAAAAATATAATTGACATAACCAACAGATCTTTGTAGATACACAGTTTTCAAGTATGATGCATTTTGAACAGATTCAACCTCTTCCCTACTCTACTTCACAAGCCATCCCCATACCATCAGCAAAACAAACTTTTCCTATTCAGGCCTTGCCAGTGAGAGCCATTTCATTTTATGTATATTCATTCTCCTTTCCTTCTATCAAATTCCAGAAACAAACTTATTTAAGTAAATCCAGGGGATTCTGCCTCAATAGGACCACGAAAGTGTACATCTGAGTCAAACAGCCTGCCCTCCAGTTGGAAACCACACTCCACTTGTAACAGCGGTCCCACAGGCCACTCCCTGAGCACCACTCCAGCGTCTGACACTTTCAGGAAAGATGCTTGAAAGAGCATCTTTCATCAGCGTTGCAGAGGGTCGGTTTTGCCCAGCAGGCAGAGACCTGCTCATCCTGCCACGAGAGCCTTCCGAAGGAGTTGCCTCTGGCTTGGTGTTAATCCTTCTGGTAGCTCAACCTGAACTCTAGGGTCATCAGCCACCAACTGGAAAACCCGAGGCCCCGTTCCCTGAATGTAGCCCTTGCCTGGATCCCAAGAAAATGCCAAGGGACCCGAGGACGCTTACCAGGCCTCCACATAAGCTTACGACGGCCTTGTAATCCTCCTGCGAGTTAACCTGGCCGCGGTAGAAGCAGTGGCGCAGGTCTGAGGGCCCTGCGTCGCTCTCCCAGGTCCCGCGTCCCGGGGCTCCCAAGTGCACTTCGGTGTAGCCGGCGGCCAGAAAGGATGCATCGGCGGTCAGGTTCAGCTGGAAGAGCTGTCCGTAGGCAGTGACGCGATAGTGGGTTCTGAACGGCATGGGTTCCAGCGCCTCGGAGCTGCGTTTCTGCCGGCTGAAGTGGTGGCTCTGAGGGAACACTTCTCCAAACTCATTGACCCGCTCGGGGATCACTACTTCGTAGGTAGTCAGGGTCCTCACCAGGGCTTCTGCAACCACAGCGACAGGACCAGTGAGCTCCCACGCGTTCCTCTTTGTCCAACTCTAAACTTCTTCCACCAAACGTCCCCGCTAAAGGTCCCAGGTACCAGTACAGCCAGGGGCATGACAAATGCACACATGCTGATGCGCACGCACACACACACGTGCACTGGGGCTGTTAGTGCTCTGCTTTCCCACACCCCCGACTTGCCCTACCCTCCCCAAGCAAAGACCCTACCACTAATGGCCCTAAGCAACCCACTTCCTTCCCCAGTACCTCCTAACCTCCCCGCAGCCGCCAACTCCTTCCCTCCGGGTGCACGCGCCCCCCTACCCCTTGCGCCCCCGCCGCGTGGTCCCAGGAGTGCGATGCATCTCCGGCGCGCGCAATTCCTCGAAACCCGGCACAGTCGCGACCTCTCGGGTTGACTGGTCCGGGAGTCTCGGGAGCCCCAGCAGGGCCAGCGTTCCCCAACGGGCTGAGCCGCTCGTCCCCTCGACCCGCATGTCCCACTCGGGCCCCGCGCCCCCACTTCGCCGCTGAAGGCGTCTCGCGGTGACTTTACCTTGCCTGGGGTGGAAGTGAACTTCCCAAGACCTGGTGATGAGCGAGAGATGGCAGAGCAGCCCAGCCAGCCACTTGGCCACCCACATGGTTCCACTCAGGGGACCCCAATCGGGGAGGCCCACCAGAGCCGCCGGCAGCCGAGCGGGATTCCCTCGCGCTCAGATCCCTCTCCTCCCTTTCGCCCGCCGCTCTCCGCGCCGGCCGCCAATCTCCGCGCTTCAGCAGCTTAGGGAACAGTAGCGCGGGCCCTGGGCCGGCTGGTCTAGCCACACCGCCTGTCTCACTTGCTGAGCCGCTGTTTCATACCACTGCAGCCTCACACCCCTTCCTGCCCCCGCACCGCCCTCAGAAACTCTCTGCTCAGGTTCAGCTCGGCGCGGGGAAGCAACTCGACCTAGCAGGAATGGTGCCAATATAGCCACCCCGGACCAGCAAGCGCCGGGGAGAGCCCGCCCCTATGGGCTGTTCCCGGCCAATCAACGGTAGGCGCGGCCCCGACTCGCCCTCCCCCGCGCAGCCCCTTCCCTTCTCCACCCAGCCGCAAGGGGAGTGCAGTCCCCTCCTGCTGTCCCAGCTGGCGCTCAACTTGCTGAGTAGCCCCAAGGCCCGGCTGGGCACCAACTCGGGACCTATGAAACCCAGCGAGATGCGAGCACCGGCGTACGTGAAAGTTGCCTAGGGTTTTGAGCTCTTAGATGAAATGACAAGCATCAGATAGAAAGTTTCTGTTTTTTATGTTTCACGGTACTTTTAGGCTTCTCAAACAAAATAAAATAAGCTACAGCGGAAGTTCTTGTAGGCAGAGGATGCTACCAATGAAGCTCAGTGACCGGTCCTCACTTGCATGGGCCCCTGTGTGTGCTGGGAGTTGCTGGGAGTTGATGAGTGCCATAGGTGCGGCGAGGAAGCCGAGTTTGCATACAAGCACTTCTGGTAATTGCCGAAATAAATTCAAGAAAAGGATCTGAGTCTCCAAAGTTTTAGTAACTTACTGTGGTTTTTTTTTTTTCTTCTTTCTAATATTTGTATTTATACTTAATTTTGTATCAAGAGCCCTCCAAAATTATATAAACGTCAAGACCCACAAAACTTGGATCTGCCCTGCCTGCGAGAGTTTTTGCTGTTAGTTCCACAGTATTCATATACCTTTTGTTTATAACATACAAATAACCCCATGTATTCACAACTATCCTCCTCAACAATTACTGTGGCTCTGACTCCAGTTGTCCCCAGGTGTCTGTTAAATTGAATACACCTCAGTGGTAGCCGAAATCAATTATTTTAGTACGATTTCTCATTTCTCAAATCCACCTGTTTGATTTGCTGGTTACATAATTACTTTTCTCTATACCCAGTATGAAAGCAAAGCTGGAGGGAGTAGTCAGATTGTCTTGAAATCCAACCAGGGGAGAGAAAGAATATGAGAAAAAAAGTAAAGGAGTATGTGAGTAAATCTTCACACATACAATGGAAAACACTTTTAATTTAGTACCTCCTCTGAGCTCTCAACAATGAAAATGCTGCGCTCTTTGAATTGACCGCTGATGGCATGCCTCTGCACTTTTATATCATACACTTGGTCATCTGTTGTTCACCACAAATGTGGAACAATCTTGTTCAATGAAAGAGGGTTTAATCTTACATCTCCCAAGGAAATCACCCAGCTTGGTGATAGTAATTCTTTCATAATCATTCCCCTTCTTTTGTACTCTTTTCTCACAAAGTGACATTTCATTCACCAAAGAATTACAGACTTCTGATGGGATGTTTTTCCTAAGCTAAACATACTATTATTCTCAACAAAACAAAAATGGACTTTACTCACACCTGTCTATTTAGTGGTTACCTTCAGTACATTATAATTGAGTCATTTTAATTACATGGCAGCTCTGAATGTGTCTTCACATTAGGAGCCATACCTTCTCTCCTAGAAATACCAGAAAATAGAACTGCACCTGTTTAATTGGCGATCTCATTGCTGACTACAGGGAAAATTTGATATTTTATTTCCATCACTGAATGTTTGTAACTCAGGGCAGTATTTACAATCAAGCATTTGATTTTCAGCTTGCTCTAAGAATGGGGCGAGGGATTTTTTTTTTTTTTTTTGAGACAGAGTCTTGTTCTGTCGCCCAGGCTGGAGGGCAGTGGCATGATTTCGGCTCACTGCAACCTCCACCTCCTGGGTTTAAGCAATTCTCCTGTCTCAGCCTCCCGAGTAGCTGGGACTACAGGCACTCACCACCACGCCTGGCTAATTTTTGTATCTTTAATAGAGACAAGGTTTCACCATATTGGTCAGGCTGGTCTCGAACCCTCCTCAACCTCCCAAAGTGCTGGGATTACAGACGAGAGCCATTGTGCCCGGCACCATTTTTTAAATAAATGAAAAGGTATGTAGGATGTGTATTCTACATCATTATTATCTTTGCAATGTTCAGTAAAAAGTGTTTTCCTCATTTCATAGAAGATAGACGCTACACTGTCATACAGTATCTAAGCTGGATTTCTACTAATCCTTTCTGACTGCAAATGCTTTTTTGTTATACTGAGCTATAAATGTTATGATGTTCACATTATCTCTCTTTTTTCTTCCTACTCTGCTAATGAAAATGTCATGAATAAGCTAATCTATGCCATTTAATTCAACCTATTTCCTCACATTGATAATTAGAACTATCACTTATGGAATTCTTTGAAATGTATGAAATTTGAAACCAGAGATTTGGGTCTAACTTGATGCTAATCCAGAGTGAATTATGTAATCTCTCTGAGCTTCATGGAGGTAATAGGTAAGTTAAATGGTAAGTCAGAGGAATTCCATAAGTGGTACCTTATCCCAGTGCTTTGAGAGGCAGAGGTAGGAAAATCATGTAGGCCAGGAGCTTGAGACCAGCTTGGGCAACACAGTGCGACCTCTGTTTCTAAAAAAAAAAAAAAAATTAATCAGGCATAGGGCACTTGCTTGTTGAGCTAGCTACTGGGGAGACTGAGAGACTGAGGCAGAAGGATCATTCCTGAGCCCACGAGCTCAAGGTTACAGTAGCTATCATCACACTACCACTCCAGTCTGGTCAACAGAGTGAGACCCTATCTCTAAAAATAATAATATAATATAATAATTAATAAAATGTAGTTTGGTTTATAATTGAGACATTAATCATTATAAACAGAAGCCATGCAACCAGTTTTTGGCACAATGTGGAGAAAATATATTCTCACTGTATTTAGGGGTTAATAGACCTTGTTTTATAATCCTAATTCTACTGTAAGCAGCTGTATAATGTTGAACAATTTACCTAATGTAAGCCTACTTTTTCTACTTTATCTCAGTCCTAAAATAAAGTTAATAATAATAATCTCATGCAATTGTTAAGATGATTAAAAGGGACAATACGGGTAACATTCTTGACATAATACTGAACAAACTATGTTCTCAATGCATATTCATGCTGATTATGGAATATTGAATGTTCATACTAAAAGGAACAACTCTTTGAATATATACTGCTTTTCTAATATTAATAGGTAGGAATTAGGGTGGTCAACTTCATGATTTACCTGAGACTGGGAAATTTCCTAAGATGCAAGATTTTCAGTGCTGAAACCTGAGAAGTCTTTTGAAAACTAGGATTAGTTGGCCACTAAAGTCCAAGGTTTCTCAAGCAAGGCCCTATTGACTTTTGGGGTTGGATAATTCTTTGTTATTGGAGGCTATGCTGTGTTTTGTAGTATGTTTAGCAGTATCCCTGGCCTCCACCCACTAGGTGCCAGTAGTACCCCACCCCTGTTGTACAACCAAAAATATTTCCAGATATTGCCAAATCTCCCTCGAGGGCAAAATTGGCCCCAGTTGAAAACCTCTGCTCTAGTACAGGAAGAAAACAGAGAAATAGTAAATGCAAAGTGGGTTTTGTAGAAGACTCCACAGACAATGCTTCATTTGTAATTATAAATAGCCAATTGCTTAGTAGAAATTCTTCATATATTCTAATGGGTATGAAAACTATCCAGCAGTGTAATTAAAGCAGTGCAAGCTGTGGTCATTTTGTTAATAATTTTAAAAAATTGTCATTGTTTCCAGGAATGCAGAGAAAAATCAAACTCTTCTACCCAGCCACTTATTACACTCTGTATTAATTGCATATTTACTTACCTGTATTTAATACTAAATTATGTGTCATATGTATCACCAGCACCAAGTTCTGTTCCCCCTATGAAATAGAAATAAATTAAATATTCATTAAATGAATAAATACAAATAATAAAATGTATATAACCTAGGGACAGTTGGGCATACTATCAGCCAATCTTATCATCTCTGTTTTTTAACTGAAATATTTATACCATTTACATTTAATGTAATAATTTATATAGTTACATTCAAGTCTATCATCTTGTTATTTGTTTTCTATCTGTACTATCATTATTCATTCCTTTTTTCTTCATTATCTATCTCCTTTTGGGTTAAATTAATATGTTTTTTATTCTATTTAATCTCCTTTACTACTCCACTCCTTGTTTTGTTATATAAGTGATTACTTCAGGATTTATAGTATATATATTTAGCTTATCTCTATCTTCAAGTAATAGTATACCAATTCAACTTCTTTCTTCCAATCTTTTTAATTTTTACTTTTTCATGAATTATAAATCCCATATTGCATTGTTGCAATTTTTCTTTAAACAGTTGCTTTCATCTAACATCAATTTTCTTTTCCCTGAAAAGCTTTCTTTAGCATTTCTTATAGTGTAAGGATGCTGATAATGAATTCTCTCATCTTTTGTATGTCTTAAAAAGTATTGATTTCATCTTTATTTTCTAAGCCTATTTTTTTCTGGGTATGGAATTCTATGCTGAAAGCTGTGGGTTTCCTTTTAGTAGTTTGAAGACATTGATTAATTGTCTTCTTGCTTCTTTCTAGATTTTTTCTGACAAAAAAATATGTCATGAATGAAAAATCTGTTATATTCATCTTCTGCAATAGGGTATCTTTTTGTTGTGAACCCTTTTAAGATTTTTCTGTCACTGGTTTTGTGCAAATTGATTACAATAAGACTTGATGTGATTTTCTTCATGCTTCCTGTGCTTGGAGTTCATTAAGTTTTTTGGGAACTGTGGGTTCCCAAATTTATTTTCATCAAATTTGCATAATTTGAAGTTATTTTTTCAAAACTTCTTCTTTTTTAAAGAGAATTTCTGCATACCTTTAATCCTGTGTTATCTAATGTCCACATATAACATATATAACTATAGTACAACTATTATTATTTAGGTTTTTTTAATTTCCATGGTTCATTGTGGAACAGGTGGTGTTTTGTTACATGAATAAGTACTTTAGTGGTGATTTGTGAGATTTTGGTGCACCCATCACCCAAGCAGTATA